GGGAGGAGGAGGAGGAGGAGGAGGAGGAGGATTCATTCCCGCTTCCGCTGGCGTGTGAGGCAAGCACTGTGCCTCTAGACCTTATTGCGATGGGGAGATCCCATGTTCGAATCCTCAAATGAGTGCATTATAAAAATGGAAGTTGTTAGGGGACTGTACAGTCTCATAGCGCTATCCACTGGGGGACTGTCGCTGCTTTGTGCGTACAGCGGTAGGGGACTGCACTGTCCCCTTACACCTTCCTTTTAAAATAGATTGTTTGAGGTTTTATGGTTTTCTGCCCACTTGGCTCTATCCTCCTGAAGATAGATGTTACGTTGATTTGCAAGCTGCCATAACCAGTCAGTTACTTTTACAGGGACATGGACTTAAACCCTATACGTACATAGGTTTGCAATATCATCCTTTACCATGCCATCCTTTACCCCGTGCCGTATTTTATCATACCGTAATAGTTTACTTTACCCTGCCATATTTCATTATACCATAGTATTATTCTTTGCCTTGCTATAATTCTCCGTACCGTAATATTATGTTTTATCATGCCATATTTTATCATACCGTAATATTATGTTTTATCATGCCATATTTTATCATACCGTAATATTATGTTTATCATGCCATATTTCATCATACCGTAATATTATGTTTTATCATGCCATATTTTATCATACCGTAATATTATGTTTTATCATGCCATATTTTATCATACTGATTCATACCGTTCTATTATACTTTACCATGCTATGTTTCATCCTACCATAATATTATGATACTTTATCACGCCATATTTCTCCATACCGTAATATTATGTTTTATCATGCCATATTTTATCATACTGATTCATACCGTTCTATTATACTTTACCATGCTATGTTTCGTCATACCATAATATTATGATACTTTATCACGCCATATTTCATCATACCGTCATATTATACTTGACCATGACATTCATAACGTAACTCTGACACATGACGCTTTCCTTCAACAGACGAGAGCTGGCCATCTTGAGATGATCGTCATGTCTCGCATGTACAGGTACATTTTTGGACAACTTTTCGCGGGGCAAAGAATCAGTGTAGAAATACAGGGCTATGTTTTCAAATCTATTAATATCCATCACTGTCTCGTTATTTTGTAACAGATATGGAAGAACTCATGGAAGAACACTACTTGTCTTCATTTTATCCCCATTTGACATCCATCATTATTTTTAACTTTCTTGTGACCGTAGGTAAACAATGAAACTGCCTTACAAACGATTAGTATGTTGCTACTCTTATCATCCTAGTGGTCACCGTTTTCTTCTGATTTTATTTTTGGGGGGAGGAGGGGATCTTTTTTCTCATTTCGCTGTTTTCCCATTGATTTACATGGCAGATATGCATCAGTTTTTGATGAAGTTGCTGTTGGTATAAAATTTACTTTGTTTACGTTATATGTAGAGAATATTAGACACGTATGGATAGTATTGTGTGCTTTGAGCATTCATGTATGTTTCTTGGCAGAGGCGCCTGCCGTACAGTGGGCGGTTTTCGGGTGCTCTGGTGTGGTATGATCCTTTTTTCCCAGCCAAGATTTAGTTTCTTTTATCTCTTCTCCTTTTTTGTTTGTTACCCTCTTTTGTCACACCTATTCCTTGGCACTAGTATGACCTAATTGTATTGCAAGTGTCATAAAACGTACTTTAAAAAGTGATTTCAGTAGTTAACTATTGCTTTCTGGAAGAACTGTGTCCTTACTGTACGGGTGCCCCAGTTGGTGATTTTAAGGATAAATATTATGACGAACCAGCAATACAAGGAAAACATTTAAGATACTACTTAAGATCTGCAGATTAGACTGTCCGCGTTGCCATAACACCAAGAGGACTAGAGAGTTTAATGTTCTTAATCTCTCAAAGAACACAGTAACCAAAAAGGATTACATCCATTTCTAAAGATAAGAAAGACTAAAGTCATGGACAAAGACGAATGCAAAGAACAGGCCTCGACACGAATTTTTTGCCTTGACATAGAAAGAGTAAGCTGATGGTTGTTAGGCCAGTTGTATCATTCCTCACCGTAATAATAACATGGATGTGAAGCATTGGCCATCAATGTACACGATAGGATAGGATTACAGCTTTCGAAATTAAATTGTTATCGAATTCTCAGAATATCATATGGACAAAAAATGAATAATGGAAAAGTACTACGAATAAGTGTAGAAACACCAGCACCCCTTCAGAACCTTACACTAAAAGTGAACTACTTTGAGCATCTCAAACGCTTAATCACTAGAGAAACTATATTCTGGAAGCAAAAGTAGAAGCCAAGAGAGGTAGAGAGGAAGAGGGATACCTTATAGAAGATGGGAACTAGATATTGAAACTAAATGTAGAACAAAATCTCCGGCAGGCAGAGAACTACAAGAGAATGAGTGCTTTATTGTAGAAAGCTCGAGAAACAACATCCAACCACTACATGTACTAGAAAAGCTAAGAAAATGGTTGTAGGGCGAGTTATTCATGAATTAATACTACCTGTCAGAACTTGAATGATTTACTCTTTACAGGATAAAACAGTTACTATAGGTTCAATTGGAGAAGAGTAAAGCTCAATAAGGCCATTTAGCGGTTGGAACAAGCAGTCAGGGCTCCCCTTTTCAGGCCAACTTAAGAGGTTCCTTCGCCCTTTGGTGTTCTAACTTAAAGGGGTATTTAGACACTTGTTTTAGAACCTTAAACGGTTATTGGTGGGGGGGGGGGGGGGGTTGTTCATGTCTGACAAACTATCCTCAAAAGTCCATTAGGTAAATTTTTACTTTTACACCCACTCAGGGCGCACTGATATGAGGGCTAAACTGACATAATTTTTGCTTCAGAACACATGTATGGCCACTCAAACTCTTTCAAATCAATTGTTTTCAAGTAAATATCAGTCCCAATTGCCAAAACTTCATATCATGGTGAAATGCTGGGCGGCATGCTTCTCATCAAGTGAACATGCCTCGTGCTTCCTTTCATGCCAAATGATCAGTTTATTGTTCACTTTAACAGCTTTTGTGGTCAGTGAACTGTGGAGTGCTGAATTTCTTACCCAGACAAACGGCGACTGCCGTTCATGTGTGTGGGTGTGTTGACAAATCATTGACTCAGCTTCGGGAATGAGAAGGGGGGAAATAATGCTTGCCAGGCGCACAACACCTACGTTTTAACTTACTTTTTAACTTACTTTTTCCTTACAACATATTTTCCTTAAAGCGTAAACAAACCCCCGAAACGAAACTTTAAAGAGTAACGCTTACGCTCCACCAAAACGTAAAGGGGGTAATCTGCGGGTTTAATGCGCAATAATATACCGACATATTTGCGTGATGGGGAGCCCTGAAGCAGAACAGACAAGGCTCAAATAGGCCGAGGGAACAAAAAGAAGTAAGATATTCCACTGACACCTTCCAACCTCCCACTTGATAAGCAAAGATCAACGTCGGGGTCCACCAGTCATTTAAAGGCTGCACACTGCTTGTTTTGTAAGACCCAGCTGAAGATACAAATCTCCCTGAGACAGAACGCAGATGTTTTGAGATTATTCCGTCTGTAATCAATTGGTTTGTTTGTTCTGCAAACACTTGTTGCAAGAGTAAATGGTCGCTGACCTTGATTTCGGGGGTTTCCAGAAATCTTGACCTACTCCAATAGGGGGCATAACCCTACCTGTAGGAGGAAGTTTGGTTTTATTGATGTGTATCTTTGTTTGGTTATAGAGAAAACTCTCCTTGTCTTTTAAAGACACCGAACAACGGGCAAAAACTTTACCTTGGCTTTTCTCAAAACAGCATTTTTTGGGATAGCCCCCTTGTGCTTAAATGCGACCGAATAATTGTCACAATCAATGCGTATAAACTTCTTTTCGTGACAGTGAGACAGATAGAGGGCATTGATACATACACATTTGTGTTTCGTACGCTATTTTTATCTGCTTCCTTTTTTTTTGTAGTAGCTGTCATCTGCGTCTGTCTCCATGTTTTCCTGTCCTTGTCTCACCTGTTCGTGGAAAGAACTGTTACTATAATAGATCTATAACGTGGAACGAAAGTGCTCCCCAACTCTCTCTCTCTCTCTCTCTCTCTCTCTCTCTCTCTCTCTCTCTCTCTCTCTCTTTCTCTCTCTCTCTCTCTCTCTTTCTCTCTCTCTGTCTGTCTCTCTCTCATTCTTACTCTCTATGTAATTTTCTCTCCCCCCCCCCCTTTCCTTTCTTCCCTCCCTCTCTCTGTCTCCATTAAGATTTGTATAATTTACTCATTCGTTTTGTCTGTCTGTCTTTCTGTGTGTCTGTATGTGTCTGTCTGTTTGTGTCTGTCTGTCTGTCTGTTTGTCTCTCTCTCTCTCTCTCTCTCTCTCTCTCTCTCTCTCTCTCTCTCTCTCTCTCTCTCTCTCTCTCTCTCTCTCTCTTTCATGACACTGACCGGACCTTTTGCAAGCAGAGCCCTCGATCCGGGGAGTAGAGTACCGGGAAAAGAGAAAAACGACGAGTCACGAAATTAAATAATGCATGGGCGGTTGACGTGTGCTCTGGTAGTTTGCTCCTTTTTTTTCTAGCAAACATCCATCGTTCCTATCAAAGATCTATCGTGGATGGTTGGCAGGTGCCCTCGTGTGGTTTGCTCCTTCTTTCCTATCTAACATCTGTCGTCCTTATCTCACCTCCTTCTTTTTTTGTGTTTGTTACTCTCTACTATTCTTCGGCACTTATATGACCTTATTGTGTTGCAAGTGCCATAAAACTCTTACTAAAACTAGAGGAGCTATCATCCTCATCTCTACTCCTTATCTGTTTATGTTACTGTCTAGTTTCACCTTTAACCTTCGGCACTTATGTGACCTAATTGTGTTGCAAGTGCCGTAACATTCACTAAAGCAAAAACTAAAACTAAATAAGACATGGCATAACATCGAGAGGGTAGCCCGGGATAGGGAAATGTGAAGAGTGTTTGTTCGTGGCGTATTATCCTGATGCAGGGGGACAAAGACTTTGATGATGATGAAATAATGCAAAAGTTTTTCATGCGAGTGCTGATGTTTTATAACTGCTATTGCGCCTCTATGTAGGATGCTCCTCTTATTGGTGTGCAGTGTGTCTATTTGTGCACCCTCGTGTGACCAGAGTGGAAACGCGAGGCAGGGGCCGGGGGGGGGGGGGGTGTCGAAAGGGAAGGAGGAGAAGAGGAGGAGGAGGAGGAGGGAGGGAGGGAGGGGAGAGGAGAGGAGTGAAGAAAGGGGGTGGGGAGTCGATGACTGGAAATAGGTGCACATCTGCATTCAGCTGTGAATGAACCCATGATTTCCAGGTGTTTTTTTGTTTGCTTGTTTTTCCCAGGCTGGATTTTGTACTTTTCCACACACCGTCCTTGAACCACTACAGTCTCACTGACAACTTTTACAACCAAGTAAGTGTGTCCAACTGTGTGTTGAACTTAATGACATACATAATGTTCCGCTTCCCTCTCACTTCTCGCTCACCCCCCGGGGCAGTGCCGCTGACTGTAGTGTCTTTAGGCCGTTCCCAAAGGGGGGACATATCTTGTTCAAGCATAGTAGAATTGTAAATGGGCTGATTCATGTCACGCTCTTAACTGTGCCTGATCTACAATAGGGAACTGCTGCTTTTTCTCTCCTGATCCCTACTTTTGTCATTTTCCTCAACTTCTTTTGTATGTTTGTCACTCCCTTGTGACCTGCTATTTTGGGGTGCCTTTCATAGTCGAAGCAGACCTTGTGCTGTTGAAGCTTAAGAGGTGAGCAGTCTAAGTCTGATTCCCTGTAAAGACTTCTCTGTTGACACCCACCCCTTGGCGCTCCTTATGACCTTATGCAGTTGTGAGCGCCGTAAAACCCTCTAATATAAAAAAACCCACTTCTCGCTCAGTGGAACAGATGAAAGAACTTGCGTCACTTTTGTCCTAAGAGCAAACACAAATCGACATTGTTGTTACATTTTGCCTTGACGTCCATTTCTCGGTGACGAGAAAGCGAAAATCTATATTGCCTTCATCTAACCAGATATATAATTTGCACGTTTATGAAGATCCCCTTGGGAAACCTGTTTAATAATTATAACTGCATACATAAATGCACAAATTTTAATGCATTTGTAGTAGTAGCAGCAGCAGCAACAGCGGCAGGAGTAGTTGTACTTGTTGTTGTAGCTGTCGTATTCATTATTATGATCAATGATCATTTTCATCATTGTAATTGATATCAATATTTATAATTGTCTTAATTCATAATAATCTTTACTGTTATTATTACTTCTCCCACTCCCAATGACCGTCATCATTATTATTACCGTTATTGTTATTACTATTATTGTTGATGTTGTTCTTATTTTTGTTGTTGTTATTATATTTATTATTATTTATTTAAAATTTAAAAAAATTATTATTACTATTATTATTACTATTATTATTATTTAGCACCATGTGTCAATACCTGCTCTTCCATTTCCGCTGATCCATGTACCTCCTCTACCCCCCTCCCGCTGGCCCTTTTCAGGTGTTCCTGTGTTATGTCAATGACAATCACTACGATTTGGTCTACTCCAAGACTTTCCTTCAGACTGCCGCTATTTGTCAAGGTAAGTTGTCTACAGTTGTTCTCTCTCTTTCTCTCTCCTCCCCTCTCTCCTTACTTACCTCCCACTCCTTCCCTTCCTCTCCCTGCCTCTCTCTCCTCCTCTCTCTCCTCTCTCTCTCCTCTCTCTCTCCTCTCTCTCTCTCCTCTCTCTCTCTCCTCTCTCTCTCTCTCTCTCTCTCTCTCTCTCTCTCTCTCTCTCGCTTCCTTTCCCCTCTCTCTCTCTCTCTCTCTCTCTCTCTCTCTCTCTCTCTCTCTCTCTCTCCTTTTCTCTCTTCCTCTTTCGGTCTGTCTGACTCTCTGTCTGTCTGTCTGTCTGTCTGTCTGTCTGTCTGTCTGTCTGTCTGTCTCTCTGTCTGTCTGTCTGTCTGTCTCTCTGTCTGTCTGTCTGTCTGTCTGTCTGTCTGTCTGTCTGTCTGTCTGTCTGTCTGTCTGTCTCTGTCTCTCTCTCTCTGTCTCTGTCTCTCTCTCTCTGTCTCGCTCTCTGTCTCGCTGTCTCTCTCTCTTTCTCCCTCCCTCCCCCCCTCTCTCTCTCTCTCTCTCTCTCTCTCTCTTTCTCTCTCTCTCTCTCACTCACTTTCTCTCTTCCTTTTTCTTCCTTTTTCTCTTCCTTTCTCTCTTCCTCTCTCTCTCTTTTCCTTTTTTTCTCTCGCTCTCTCTCTCCCTCTTTCTCTCTTGCTCTATGTCTCTTTCTCTCTCCCCCTCTCCCTCTCTTTTTTCTCTCTCTCTTTCTTTCTCCCTTTCTCTCTCCCTCCCTTTTCTCTCTCCCCTGTTTGAATATATGTCTGAGTGCGCTTGCTGTGTGTGTTCATGTGTGTGTGTGTGTGTGTGTGTGTGTGTGTGTGTGTAAAAACTGACTGTATTTTAATTATAATTTCATGAAATTACATCGTTTTATCAGTCCAAACTTCCTGATGAGAATCGTATTATACAGAAATGTGATAGTGCAGAACAATAGGAATGTACAAATAAGAACTTGCAGAACAATAGAAATATACAGATAAGAACTTGCAAACCAATAGAGGAATAGAAATGTACAGATAAGATTGCATGGTGTAATAGTATATGGGGAGGGGGGTTCAAATGTTTCTCTGACCCCCTCTATCCATCTTTTCTGTTCTAAAAATTTTATTTTGAGTTGGCGAATAAAAAGTAGAATACATTATAAAATAACCTGAAAGTTTATTTCCCTTTTAGGGGTTAAAAAAGCCTTATTCCACAGGTGCCAATTTTATGGAAAGCTGAAAGTATCCTCCATTACCATATTAAGAATAAGAATTGTCATTGTTTTAAGTCATCATCATCATCAATGCCTTTCACCCCTGGCAGGGTATAGGCCACATACAAGCTCGTTCCATTTATCTCTATCCTGGGCCATCCTTCCTAGCTCGTTTCAAGTGAGCTTCCTCTCTCTCATGTCCCTTTCCACACATCTCGTCCATGTCTCTCGTGGCCCACTCCTGCCTCGTGCTCCCTATGGGTTCCATTGCAGTGACTGTCTTGTGATGTTTCTGCTGGGCTTTCTGAAGGTGTGTCTCATCCAACGCCACTTCCTTAGTTCTATTTCTACTTCTATATTCCTTTTTGTCCTGTCCTTTCCCATAGCTTTTCATTTCTTATTCTATCCTGCCACTTAATTCTCAGGATACTCCTCATACATCTGTTGTTGAAAATCTAGACTTTATTCAGGACTGTCTATGTTGTCTTCTTAAGTACCTTGTTAATAAATAGCAATATTATCACGCTCTATAGAAAGGGGAGCAGTGGCTACCGCTGGCACTTACTCAGGTTTTTCTTTGATGGGTTTATCTTGGGGAGGTTATTTTTGTGTTGGTTGATGCCTTCTGCTCCTCGCCCTCGTCCTCGTCCTCGTCCTCTTCCTCTTCCTCTTCTTCGTTCTTTTCCTTCTCTTCTTCGTCTTCGTCCTCTTCTTCGTCTTCGTCCTCTTCCTTCTCTTCTTCGTCTTCGTCCTCTTCCTTCTCTTCTTCGTCTTCGTCCTCTTCCTTCTCTTCTTCGTCTTCGTCCTCTTCTTCGTCCTCTTCTACGTTCTCTTCGTCCTCTTCTTTGTCCTCCTCCTGCTTCATATTCCTTTTTCTCCTGCTCCTCCTCCACATCTTCTTGTTTTTCTTTTCCTTCTTATTCTCTTGTCTTTCTTTACTTCCTTTCTGCTATCCTCACCTCTGCCACCCCTCCCTGCCCCTCCCCCATTACAGTAAAGTGCAGGCTGACACTAAATAGGTTCTTGTAGTTGTTGATGTTATATATTATATAGAGAAGTGATAGTGATACAAAGAGAGCCAAACTTAGATTTGGCCTTTTTAAAATCAATTTCTATCAACCATATTATTGTGGGATGGTGGATACTACATCCCCCCCCCCCCCCATAATCAACACCCCACCCCACCTAATGGATCCTGAGTCGATACTATTTGATTTTGTATGGAGTGATACGTATCGTGGTGCTCTGCATGCCGGTTCGCTGATTTTCCCGGATAGATTGGCTTGGTGAGCGGATGAGAAAACAGGAACAGATGGGGTCAGAGAAAACAATGAATTGTTGTTGGGTGGAAAAAATAGCGGATGGTTGTCGGCAGATTAGTTGTGACAGTTTTACGTTCCCGACAACGCTATTTAAATAATTAAGATGAGAACTGTTTACATCCATAATAATTTTATTTATAGCACATAGCTATGCTTTGTAGCATGCTCTTTGCGTTTTACACTTATTATGACCCCAGCTGACCCCAGAACAGTCAGAAACATTCTCGACTCGCACCTGCCTCTTTGTGAATAAAGTTACTCTTTCCAGTGTGTATTTAACATGATTGATTTTGATCTCGTCTCTGCCAATGAAATACGAGGACGTAAAGAGGGTGTTCTATTTCTCTACTGCTCTTCTGTTTCATCTGTCTGTTCGTTTTGCTTTACCTTGTCACTAAATTACCTTTATTGTGTCGATGAGCTTCTTGTTATTAAAACTGAAGTTTAAGAAGAAGCTGTTCAGGTCATTTTAAATCGTCCTAAAAGGATGAAAAAATTTGAGTAAATCTATTTTCTCTCTTTAGACGGTATAGCAAAGCAACCATACTGCCACCTGGATGTCCTACTAAATCCATTGTTATTCTTGAAACCGCACGTGCATAGTTTCCCACAACGCACATGTTTACTACTTTGTCATAGCGGCGACGCTTTTTCCCAGTACCTGTCGTTACAAAATGTGACACAAAATGATAATAGCAAATACAATATGTGCGGATGCCCTCCTGCCAAAAGTGCAATATTGTCACCTCTCGCAAGTAGCTGCACTGTTTGCGCTCTTATTCAGTCGTCCCCAACACAATACATACTATATTTCTGTCCGTCGTTTTACTTTTTTTTTATGGCGTGTTGAGAGTCTTTCGATCGTGTCTTCAGCTATTTAGATCTAGATATCGTTTGCGATTGTGATGAAAATAATGTCATGCAAGGGACAGTGGGGCACTTTGTGCCTTTTGTCGCAACAAATCCAGGCAGGTGGATGCGTGGATATATTATTAGGACCTATTGTTGACTATTGTTTGTTCGGGTAGGATGTGGGAGTGTGAACCATTGTTCTCCGTTTTCAGGTAGGCCTATTGATTGAGTCTGAGAATTTTAGGGGGAGTACATGATAGTCTTTTTTCCTTCTTATTTTTATTGGTAATGATAATTGTAGCTTTGGTGTTTGTTTGCGATGGGTTGGGGGGGCGGTTGGGGTCTTTCTTATTAAATAACGTTACCCCCACCCCTTTATATTTTGTTTTGTTTTTGTTTTAGTAAGGTTTTACGGCGCTCGCAACTGCTTAAGGTCATATGAGCGCTCCTTCTATGTGATTTATCTTATAGCTTTTTCACTTTCGTCTGATCCCGGTTTAAACCAGATACAATGAAATCGCGGGTGGTTGGCGGGTGCTCTGGTGTGGTCTACTTCTTCTTTACTATCTAGCATCTATCGTCCTTATCTCTCCTCCTTTTTTTTGTTTGTTACTCTCTTGTAACACTTCTAATCTTCGGCACTTATATGACCGTATTGTGTTACAAGTGCCGTAAAACTTTTAGTAAAACTAAAAATGAAATCGCTCTGTTTAATCTTCTTGGATCTTTTGCATACGGATCTCAAAGTTGGATGACCCACAGAATCTAAAAGCCCGTTAATTAAAGTCACACGTTTTCTTTGATGTTAACCTAAAGCAGGTCAGAAAAATAACAGAGGATTTACAGTAAATTACAGCATACACCCCTAAACATATAAAAGTTGACATATTATTTCCATCAACACACACTCTAAAATACGCCCAAGTAACACGATTAAAGAGTGGGTGAGTAATTTTCGAGACTCACGTGGAGACTTCTATACTGAAATCTACAAGCTTACACTGAAGTGAGGGGGCAGGATGGTGTCGGTATCTCGAAATGAGCAATTTGCACGCAATGTTACTGTAAGTCTTTCATTGTTGTGATCCTGTGAATGCCCCTAAAGAGAAAAAAATATTTATTACTGGATCAAAATTTTTTGAAAAAATATTTGTTTGGTCGTTTGCCTGTGGAAGAGTGGTGCATAGTTTCGTGGGCATAGGTAAATTAATAAATGAGTATCAATTTTTTTGAGCTGTCAGACGAAAGTGAACACACTATAATATAGACTATACGATTAATTATAAAGTGTTTGAATTAGGTCATAGAATGGCCTGCTGTTGTGTTGTCCCCAGTGTCTGTTGTGAAGCACGCCGAAGACGCTGGTTTGATTCCCGCGTGGAAAGATATTTAAGGAACGTGGGGTGGTTGGCGGGTGCTCTGGTGTGATTTGCTCCTTCTTTCCTATCAAACATCTGTCGTCCTTATGTCTCCTCCTTTTTGTGTATGTTACTCTCTTGTAACACCTATTTATTCTTCGGCACTTATTTGACCTTATTGTGTGCCATAAAATTCTTACTAAAACTAAAACTAAAACTATTTTAGGAACACCTTTGTCATTCCGGGATGCCATTTACTGCAGTCTAGATTGGCCCTGGCAGACATGTTAACAACAGCCCGCCTCCTAAGTGGTTTTACCTGTTTCAGTAAGGTTCTAAAATATCACAGTTATGAATAGTTTTCAGAAGCAACTAATTTCAACGTATAGTCTGAAGTTTTACGGGTCAAGCAGGTTGGAGATCAGGCCTGCAATTTATGCTAAAGGATGTCGTTGACACGACTATAGGTTGGTTGGCCAGTGGGTCTATTATTTATCAAAACAAGACCACCCAGCTTTGAAACAGGGCTCTGCATGGCGACAAGCAATGACTTACAATTCAGAAACTGGCATCTCCCTCTCTCGCTCTCTCTCTCTCTCTCTCTCTCTTTCGTTCTATCTCTCTCTCTCTCTCTCTCTCTCTCTCTCTCTCTCTCTCTCTCTCTCTCTCTCTCTCTCTCATTCTCATGTCTTCGATTAGTGCATAAAGCACGTACATACTCAACGATTTCGTGCCCATGGAGTTATCTTGACTTCTCTGAAAGTGATTGGTAGAGGGTACGAGTAGATATTTCTGGGTTTTTTCCCTTCTATTGATTTTATCTTATTTTTCCGGGTACCGGTACATAAATGGCTCTTACCGTTATCATGTACGTGGGTGGTCGGCTGGCGCTCTGATGTGGTTTGCTTCTTCTTTCCTATCAAATATCCATCGTCCATATCTCTCCTCGTTCTTTTCTTTGTAATGTACATTTGTGTTTCTCTCCTTTCACTGCATTCTTTCTTTCAGTCTGTCTTACCTGAATGACTAAATGACCACTGCTGTGTCGACGTGCTTCTAATGCCGAAACAAAAAATCAAACTTTAATAACACCTCTAATACCCGGCACTTGCATATCCAATTTTGTTGGAAGAGCTGTAAGACTCTTAGTAAAACAAAACTAAAAATGTCCATGCGCATGAGTTTACACAACCTAAACTTCTAATACTTTCTTTGTTTCAGCTATCGTGTACGAGCTGCTGTATGACCAAGTGTTCGGCCTCAAGTCGGAGTTGGAGGAGGCCGTTATTTTCCTGGAACTGCAGAAGCCTTTGAGCAGGGACTCGGGCTGTCTGGAGTAAGTTTTCTTATTTTACGACCTTTTGAGTAAGCTTTCTTGTACTATTTTAGTAAGTTCCTTATTTTACTCTAATACTTTTATCTGAAATTAAAGCCAGACTTTTTATATAACCTATCAGTTTGATAGGACCGGCGTCTATAGTGAAGTGGTTTGGCGCTTTGCTATTGTCCCAGGAGACCTGAGTTCGATTCCTGAGTGGGGAATTTAAAAAAATGAGTATTTCGTTCTTTCTGCGGAGATGTATCCCTCTCAGCTTGGGTTGGCCTGACCAGGCAGGGGCGAAAGTCTGCCTCCAAATTGATCTAAAACTTGTCGACCAGGGCGTAAAAACACCTGTATTAAAAAAAAACAAGTTTTAACCCTGACGAAGTTTGTTAGTACGTATTTTTTTTTGGGTATAAGGTATCTCATTCAGCCCGGGTTGGCCTTGACGCGTGATCGAAATTGTGTCGAGGATAGCAAAACACATGCATACCTAATGTTTAATAGGTTATTTGTTTTTGAGGTTTCTTTGGGGAGGGGTGTCATCTTGTTGTTTATCAGACTAGCATTTGTCATTGTATGACGCGGTTCCTCTTTCAAGTTCTAATTTTTTTATTTTTTTTTTGGGGGGGTTCATATTTCATTTACAACTGACCGTTTTTTTCTCCTGTTCTCTATGTATAGAATAAGTACTTTAGTGCTTTTGATATTCTTCCACTGGGCCCGGTTTGGTCCTGATAGGCATGGTCAAAGCAGCCCATCACACGTTATGATCTAAATCAGTGCTTGCCTACCTGAGCGGTGATTTTGGAGGGCGCTTGGGGGTTGACTCGGGTACACTCGGGTAGTGACAGGGATTATTTAATGCCCCGCTTGGAAATACTTGTATGTGGGCGGTAATAACAATGTGAGCCATCTACAGATAGCAAAGTGGACGCTGGTAAAAAGAAAAGGTTGAAAAGCATTGACCCCAATGGTTTCGATAAAAACGTAGAACATAAACAAGTGGGTGTGGGTGCTTGGCGGGTGGTCTAATGTGATCTACTCCTTCTTTCCTGTTGAAAATCTGTCGTCCTCATCTCTCCTTGTTCATGTTTATTACTCTCGTAACACCTTTAATCTTCGATACTTATATGACCTAATTGTGTTGCAAGTGCCGTAAAATTCTAACATGGACACCCCCCCCCCTCCATGAATAATCAGTTTCTTTACTCGAAACGGTTACATTCGATCTGAAAGAAAAAGTTGGTGTTTTTTTTTTTCCTGTGGGTGAAGTAAATACAATAACAGAAGGAATCCCCTCTGTGGCTCGGGCATTTTTTTAATGTCCAAGCTGTTTCCGTCTTGCACTGGACGCAGTAGGACTAGACCGTGGCTCGGAGAACCACCCGTGGTCCATAGGCCGCAGATGTTGACCACTGGTAGTATTTTGTATTGTTTAGCTTTTGGAAGTATTTTACTGCGCTGACAACTGCGTAAGGCTATATATGAGCGCGCACCGGGAGTGTGATGCCTCTGCAGTATTTCCTGGTGGGGGTTTGGGCATCATGCTGGTTGCTAGAAGAGTGAGAGGGGGGGGAGGTGAGCAGTGGTAGGTCTTACTTCTCTTTGTCGTTCCCTGGTCCAGTGAGGTTTGCTTCTTCTTTCCTATCAAACATCTGTTGTCGTGTATTGCTCCTCCTTCTTTGTGCGCTGCTCTCTGATAATATCTTCAGCACTTATATGCCCTATTTATTTTACAAGTGCCATACAGTTCTAACTTATACTCAAAACTTTTCGTTCCTCCGTTGTCTGTCGGTCTTATTATTTTCCGTAAATACGATGGCTGTTATTGTAGCGTTGCTCTTTTCGAACCAAAATTTTGAGTGAGATGAAGTTTCGTCATATGGTCGCTTTTAAGCACTAGGTTTAAGCACGGTTTTGGGAAAATCGAAAGCTAAGTTTTTGCTGCTTGTTCAGTTTCTTTAAATGTAGAAGACAAGGATGGTTTTCTCTATAACAAAACAAATGTACCCACAAATGAAACCAAACTTCTCCTATAGGTAGGACAATGCCCACTGTTGGTGTAGCACCAGATTTCTGGAAACCCCCGAAATTTGGGTTAGCCCGTTTGTCCTTAAAAGCGACCATATGTAAACTGATTTTGGATAACAGAAGAGCATTTAGAGATATCGGGTCCTACGTTAGCTCTGTTGGTATCACGCTAAATTATGGAGTGGATGGCCCTGCCCTGGTTCGAATCCCATATTAGGCGTTCTTGAACACGGGTCGTTTTATCGAGTTTTCAAGCCTCTCGACCCATTTGGCTCGGTCCTCTCCGAGACGGATGTTTTAGTTTGGAGATACTGTGCTAATATTGTTGGCAGGGGCGATAAACCCCCTTTCACTTACATTTTTAGGAAATCCGTTTTCACAGTATGCCAGTTTTTTTCTCACTTTCTGTCTCGTCTTATTCGGCCTTTCTATTCTGCCCCCCCCCCCCTTCTCTCTCTCTCTCTCTCTCTCTCTCTCTCTCTCTCTCTCTCTCTCTCTCTCTCTTCTCTCTCATCTCTCTCTCTTCTCTCTCTCTCTCTCTCTCTCTCTCTCTCTCTCTCTCTCTCTCTCTCTCTCTCTCTCTTTTCCTCCCTTTTTCTCTGTCTCGTCCTCTCTCTCACACGCTCCTCCCTAATCTCCCTAAACACACATGAACACACACACAAACAAACAAACACATGAAATAATAATATGTATATATTATATTATTATTATTTATTTTTGTTCACTCTTATTACTATTTATATAATATATGTATATTATAAAACATACACAAAGACACTCAGATACAGATGCAAACTTAAGCACATAATTATACACACCAACACAAATGAACATCCCAAAACACACACACAAACATACACACACACACACACACACACACACACACACACACACACACACACACACACACACACACACACACACACACACACACTCTTCTTTTGTCTTTCTCTGTCTGTCTGTCTGTCTGTCTGTCTGTCTGTCTGTCTGTCTGTCTGTCTGTCTGTCTGTCTGTCTGTCTGTCTGTCTGTCTGTCTGTCTGTCTGTCTGTTTTTATATGTGTGTGTGTCTTTCCTTTACTTACTTTCTACTGACGCAGAGCCCGTCGAGTTTATAACAATAACGGTTTCTGACGAGCTGGGCGTTGACGCTGTTGAAAGACGTTTGACCCCGCGGTTTTTCTGTGGGTGGGGCGTGACGGTAACGCTTTCTGTCAAAATCCTGGCGTTGCCCTGCTTCAATTGAAAAAAAAAAAAAAGAATTATTGCATCGTGGTAAAATCAGGCGCTCGTCAATATAATTAAATATTATAATTATGAACACCTTATGTGTCTTTAAAAACAAAAGTATGTATCAATTGTACTGGAAAAGGTTGTTGAAAAGCATAAAAGAAATGTGAATTTGCAGTTTCACTGGACACTCAAGCTGTGGAAGTCAACAAACCATGACGCGATTTTTCCACTGATTTCACTTCTGATACTAGGCGACCCCCACCACCTTCAATAGCGGATATCTCGACTTCTTTTTCAAGATTGTTGATCAAAAGCAAGGGAAATGAACTGACGTAAAGAATATGTTATCAATAACTTCATAGGCCAAAAATTAAAGAAGGCCTGATTCCATCGTGTCGTGATTTGAATGGGGTGTTTCTATCGTATGATGTTGGGGATACTCAGAGGTGTCTCAGGATACCCTGATTTCTAAATTTGCCGGCATATTGTGCTGCATGTAAGAATAATAATTAAACAAGACGAATGAGAAAAAAAAATTATTAGTAAATTTTAAATCTCCGCGCGTGGGTTTCCGCGGAGTCCAGAAAGGTATTATTTATTTTCAGCCTGTTGGCAGCTCTGGAAGCTAGTCCAGTGGCAGTTACATAAAAAACTGCTACGAACTGAATTTGATACTGTTGAAACGAATTTAAGATTCATAGGGGGCTCTCGTGGCCTAGAGGTTAAGGTGTTGGCCCCTCATTCAAAGGTCCCGGGTTCGAACCGGGAAGCGACCAATAAATTTTCTTCTCTAAAATTGTCTCCTTTCACCTCCTTTCCTGCTCTCTAGCAATGTTCTGTTGTCTGCTTTCATTTCCACTTTCTGCCCCCACCCCCTCACCTCCTTTGCCCCTCCTCTGGGCTCCTGACTCTTTCTGCAGCCTTTCTACTGCTACTCCCTGGCTCCTCCTTACTGCTGTCTTTCTGCCACACCCCTGATCTTCTGGTAGGAAAGATCTACACCTAGCCTTCTCGGACAAGGGCGAAAAATCTCGGAGGGCCCGTGTGCAAGTTGCGCACGTTAAAGATCCCTTGGTGGTCTAAAATCGATAAAAGTAGGCTTCGGCCGCCACCCGGGCAAAATTCAAAATTTCCTACCAACTGAAAATATTAGGTGTGTCCCGCGCGCTCATATGACCAATGCAGTTGCGAGCGCCGTAAAACACTTTACAAAAACAAAAACAAATAAGATTCATAGATGATTTAAAAGCGCCGTTAGCTCAGTTTGTATTGTGCTGGGCCGAGGTATGGATGACCCGAGTTGGAAACCCACTTGGAGTGTACTTGAACTTCGATTGTTGAGGGAAATTTCCTAACCTCTCAGCTCTTGCCACTTCGGTATAGCGGTTATGCGCTTTGCGATGGCACACAGAAAACTCGATTTCGATTCCCGTGTATGGAGGTGTTTTTTTTAAATCTCAGTCTTTCTACTGGCGTGTTGTATCCTTCTCAGTCCAGATTGACCCTGACAGGCATGGTCAAAGATTGCCTCCTTTGTTTGTTTTGTTTTTTTGTAAAGTGTTTTACGGCGCTCGCAACTGCATAGGTCATATGAGCGCGCGGGACACTCCTAATATTTTCAGTTGGTAGGAAATTTTGAATTTTGCCCGGGTGGCGGCCGAAGCCTACTCTTATCGATTTTAGACCACCAAGGGATCTTTAACGTGCGCAACTTGCACACGGGCCCTCCGAGAATTTTCGCCCTTG